ACGTCATCACGTTGTTGGTGGGGGGGGTGGGGGGGGGGGGGGGGGGGGGGGGGGATGGAGCACATACAGTATACTGATGAATGTCGCCTTTGGTTCCACTATCAACTCTAAACAAATGGTTTCTTAGCCTTGATTTAAGGAACTTAGTATTTCTGCAGTTTTATGGAAGTTTGTTCCAGATTAGAGGAGCATAGAAGCTGAATGCCGCTTCTCCATTTCTGGTTCTGGTTCTGGTTCTGCAGAGCCGACCAGAACCAGAAGACCTGCAGAAACAGACAACAGAAAAGTTAACATTGCACTTCACCCTGAACACACCATCCCCATTGGTCAATGGTGGCACCATCATACTGTGTGGATTCTTTGCTTCTCCAACAAGACAATTGTGAAATAAAATTGGTGGAAAAATTGCAGAGAACCTTCATTATAAATCCAAGGGGAAATTACAATTTTTTTTAATTATTAATTCAATTGGAAAAACAAACCCTGAGCTACAGTAGAATGTTTTATATCAAAGCATTTATGGCCAATTGGGACCCCGAGACAAGACTTCAATTTCAGTTCAATTGGGAAAAAAAAACATACACTGAAAGACTCATCTTAGATTGGTAAAACTCAGATTGTAACTGCAAAGCTGTCACAGTAAGCCGGACGCCTTCAGGCATGGGAAGAATATCAAACATTTCTAAATATTTGTGAGACTTTATGTGTCCCACATGTAATAATCATATCTGTTAAAAAGTGAAACTGTGAGATCATTTCATGATGGATTTCTTAATCTTATGCAAATTGGTATTTAGAGTTTTTTGGCCAAACTCGGCCAACAGTCCCTCCTAAGCAAATATTCATCCTGCTCCACTGGATGTGCTTCATCCATTGAACTTTTAAAGTGCCCAGATACACACACTTACTCATGCTAAATGTCATGCATTTGAATATATATGACGCCATTAACGTATTATGAGCCTTGACAGGTCACGATGACCGTCTACGCTATTTGAATGCTAGCTTCAGGTTCATTGGTTTTTACACGTCTCTCCGAGCCTGTTGGTGAACTGGGGGAGCCTTCTGCAGGCCGTCTCCAGCCCTGTGAATGCGGCACAATGACGGTTCAGTTGAGACCTTCGGCGGTTTTAATATGTCTGAGTGTGCTGCGCGTCAGAGCTGTGGAAAGTTGTGAGAAATAAGCTGTGTGTTAGGCAGGCATTGGCAGACATAAAGGCTGTGATACAGAGGTTCAGTGAGGCGTCAGCTGGCGGCCGGGTTGTCGGGTTTTTGTAACACCTCCAATAAAAACTGATGATGAGATAAATTCAGGGCGTGTTGCTGCTCAAAAGGAGCAGGAGTCTTTTTCCACTGTTGATTTAAAACAGACTACTGAGTTTTAAATGAACAGGCACACAAAAGCAAAAGCATCAGGAACTTCCTACCAAATACAGTCCCTTCAAATGAGGATATTAGTACAGCCTTTGTAGAGAAACACACTGATGCACTAATTCTTCATAATATGCTAGCTTTTTTTGCTAATTAGGTAGGAAACAAAAGAAACAACTAATCAATTTAAAAAAAAAACAGATTTTCACAGTTTTTACAATTTTCATCAAATGAAATGCATTTGATTAAAAAAAAGTTCTTCAAGCTCTTCACAATTTAACTTATAACATAACTATGCAGCTCTGTGTTGTGTTTGTTCTTTAGTTTCTTGAAAATAAAAAAAAAAAGTGAAACAAAAATCACACGGAGACCCAAGAGTTTCAGAACAGGCATATAAATCAATCTCAACCCTCCCATCACAGCTGGTAGTCTCCAGGAAACAGTTATACACATCATGACCAGATGTATCCAGGCGTTGTACTCGTTAGTAAGGAAACATGTTCTGTGTTGCAGAGATGAGCATGTTTTGGCGTGAAATGTGGGAATTGGAACAAAATCTGGTGAAAAAGCTGTTTGGTAGGAAGCCTCATTAGGCATAGTGAAAACGAGTCCTTTACCAAGAATTCGTCACTCCAAAATAAAGGTTACAGCTGGCAAAAGCACTCCAGGTCTAGGCCTGAACTGATAAAGACATTTCCTGTGGTTTGATAAAACAAAAATGTACGCGTTTGGCTGTGATAACCTTTACATCATATTTGGAGGAAAAAGTGAAAATATCAGGTGAGCTTTGAAGTACAGGGGCGGCAGCATCGTTTGTCCAAACGATGTCATAATGTTGGACATCGTTTGTCCAACATTATGAAAGGACTTCATGTGGAAATACTAAGGCAATATGTCAGGACATCAGCCATGAAAAAGAAGCTCAGGTGGAAATGAGTCTCCCAAACTCACCTTGAACCCAAGTACATGACCAATATGGTCACAAAGTGGCTCCAGGACCACAAAGCTCTGATCTCCTGTAGAAATCAACAGGGAAAGTTAAAGGGTGTGTGAGAGCAAGGTGAGTCACAAACATGACTCGAATAGACCAGTTCTGTCAGGAGGAACCGCCCGAAATTCCAGTAAACTATTGTGAGAAGGTTCTGGAAGGGTGAGCCCAAAAGTCATCCAGTTTAAAAAAATCACATGCAGACCCAAGAGTCTGGGAAAACGTATGAAAACGTCTGACTTTGAAGAAAGTAACAAAGTACCTCTCTTGTCATTTTGCCTTTCAGCAAGTTGGAGTAGTTGTGGTTATTATAACTGACCCAAAGCAGGAGAAGTTTAGTCTGATTTCATGCCAGCCTGAGGAAATAAAGGCCATGTGTCCTTTTATATAGTGTATGTATTTTCCTATGTCCAGAAACACAAAACGGGACATTCATTCCATACCAAATACCACTTGAGACTTTATTTCCATTTCGCCTAATTAGCCTGAAGCAATATCCAAACACACTGTACAGTATTCTGGATCAAAAGGAATTTAATTTAAGAGCACAGGAGCTGGGAAGACAGAGGCAAAAAAAAAAACATCATTAAAGTTTGTACATTCATTCATTTAATGTTAATTTTTACCTCGATAACTAAGAGGAGAAAATAACAGGCAGTATAACTGGAAACCTTATACGTGTTGAATCTTTTTTTGTCCATTATGATAAACATGCAGATAATCATAATTGTATATTTTTGTATTTGTCAGGTGAAAATGACATCCCTCTTTCTGCTGTGTGTGTCTTTGCCTGTAATCTTGGCAACAACGATACCGAAAGATCCTAATGGTAAGGAAACACAACATCCTGCCTGAAGGGATGTAGTGTTTATGTCTTGATTCAAAGGTGCTTTGTGAGATCAGCCTTTTCACCAATATACAAACTAAAATTCAAATTTGATTAAGATACAGTTAGTTAGCATTTTTCTGAAGACAAGACGAAATAGGATCACAGCCTAGTTCGGTGGTGTTTCGCCATGTATGACAAAATCATACATGGCGAAATCAGTAGAATAAACTCGCAGGACACAAAAATTAAATTAAATGTGAAAAAGTAATTGTATTGTAAAATGTTCACTTCTATGTATCTATATGTTCAATAAAAAAATAACCATACAAAATTTTGATGAAATGAATAATGTAGTCTGATTGTTGTTAAAACCTATGAGTAAATCATTGATCCTATGAGCCACATAGGGTCTCACAGTCCTTTTACAAAAGTGACTGTATAATGTCTGGGTGTGCCCTAGTATATTTTTTTCTGAATGACGCCAGTGGTTTGAGAGCATTACTATCAAATGGAAATGAAAATAAATAAACATTATTAATAAATTAAATGTGTTGTACCAAATATGTCCTTGTTTTGGAAGATTTTAATTTCTTAGTAAAAATCTTTTTTATAGTTAACATTTCCATCACCTGGCAATTCTGGTGGTCAACTTTCTGCTACTCTTTAACAGTGGTTAGCACATAAAGTAGCGGTATGTATTAGTCTATTGAAATTATTTGGAAAGGTATAACATATTCTAAGACCAAGGCTATCTCAAGATGGCTTTTGTAACTGTTAAATTTTTACTTGCTGTGTTGAATTGCTAAGATTAAAAAAATAAAGCCTCTTTCTATTTAAAGGAATATAACTTCACATGGCCACTAGCATCATTTACATTTTTCTCCCTGTTTTTCCCTAACAAAAATGTTTTAAAGTACATTTGGCTGCACTCCTGATCACGGCACAAAATGCATCATCTATTTATTTTTACCGCAGATATAGTTGGCTCATTGCATGTCAGCATCCCTGTTGAGTTGCCTCTCCGTCCACTGCTGGGAGGAAAGGTAGCTGTGCCATGCTACTTCCAAGGAAGCAGTGTGAACGACCCGGGAGCACCCACCATCGCCCCGCTAGTTCACAGAATCAAGTGGACCTACGTCACCAAGGAGAAAGTTAGCCCAATCCTGGTGGCATCGGAGGGGAAGGTTTATGTGGAGACAGAGTATCTGGACAGGGTGACATTGGTCGGCTACCCAATGGTTCCTACTGATGCTACCATTGAGATAACTGAACTGAGGTCCAAAGACTCTGGTACCTATCGCTGCGAAGTGAGCCATGGTATTGAGGACAGCTCTGACTTTGTAGACATCCAGGTTCAAGGTATGCTTCAAATTTATACAACTTTGTTCAGTAGAGCATAAAGTTTCATTTATCACCCCTATATACGTCGACACATTGCTTCTAGAAACAGCACCCGTGTTTAGTTGGTGGTTGATAAGGAGGAGTGAAACAATTAGTTGGGGAAACCATGTGTCATGGGAGGGTTTACCAGAAATGATGACATTGACTCTCTATTTCTTTACAGGTATTGTATTCCACTATCGTGCCATCTCCACCCGCTACACCCTAACATTTGAAAAAGCCAAAGAGGCCTGTGTACAGAACAGTGCCACCATTGCAACTCCTGCACAACTCCAAGCCGCTTACGATGACGGATACCACCAGTGTGATGCTGGTTGGCTTTCAGATCAAACTGTGAGGTACACTAACTAACTACCAGAGTTTGAGAGACTTAGTGGGCTTTCAGAATGCCCACAAAGTTATATCTGTCTCTATTCAGTGCATTAAAAGATTGGTTAAAAGAAGAAAAAAACTGTTTAGAACGTTACCTCAATCCACCAGGGTCACCAACATTTCTGTTCTCTCCAGGTACCCTATTCATGAGCCCCGGGAACCTTGCTTTGGAGATAAGGAAAACTTTCCTGGAGTGAGGACCTACGGCGTTAGAGATGTCAATGAAACTTATGATGTGTACTGCTTTGCTGAGAAGATGTCAGGTATTCTTGACAAACAAGTGCAATCTTTGACCTTTTCAACCTAAAAACAAAGGCATATTTTCATCTTATTTCTCAACTCTGTCTCTCCAACCAGGCAAAGTTTTCTACTCCATGTCTGTAGACAAATTTAGCTTCTATGAAGCACAAGACCAGTGTGTCAAACTGGGAGCGAGGCTGGCCACCACTGGAGAGCTATACCTTGCCTGGAAGAATGGCATGGATGTCTGTAATGCTGGCTGGCTGGCAGACAGGAGTGTACGCTACCCAATCAACATCCCCAGGCCTCAATGTGGAGGGGGCCTTGTTGGAGTAAGAACAGTCTACTTGTTCCCCAACCAAACTGGATACCCCTACCCAGACTCTCGTTACGATGCGGTCTGCTTCCAAGGTTGGTGATTCTTTGAGAACAACTGGATTTTCAAAGGAGTCAAGAGGCTTAAATATAAATACTATCTCATTTCTGGAGTGTTTGATGTCTTTGCTAATGAGTAGTGTGTTTTGTGCTCTAAATATCTCGCTATCCTGAATCCTCAGATGATGATGAAGGTGAAGTGCCTGGTAGGACCACACCCTTCCCAGTCATCCAGTTTGCATCTACCCCTGTGCCGCTCCCCACCCCAATACCTCCACAAGGGACTGAAGAGAGCAAGTCTGGAGGAGTAGTAACTCTCTCCCCATTGCCACATCTCTCCAGTGAAGGTGTGACCATGGGTCCCACAGGTAAACTTTCTATGAACTAATGGAAACAACATTTGGAACATCTTTGTTTTTCAAGATATTTACTAGAAGAAACAACTGTGCAAAAACAGGGCATGTGCTGATCTAAGGAAGTTTTACAGAAAACCTTCATTGGGTTGACTTCAATGAAGGATGTAGTACCGCAAAGAGAGAAGTGTCCCAAGAGAGAACAGGGACATCCTGTATATAGATCAGCAGCTGTAGTCTAATGACTTCTGTGTTTCTAATGTTCTACAATGTATGTAGAGCATATACCCAGAAGCATAATTTATGATTCTGAGAATAGGACACCTGGCTTCCATTCACAATTGCTGTCAAACTTAAAATATAATAGAAGTACTGGGAATATGGCAGCTTTCTCTGCTTTGGACAATTTACTTGAAGACAAGAAGTTATTAGGTTAGATCAAAACTGTTAAACTTTTGATAATAGGCAGTAAAACACTTGTAAGAATGACATTACCAACTGTAGAAATTTTTGATCTAACCACTTTTCTCCCAGCTGAAACCACTAAGAGTATTGCTGCCAGTAATAAAAAAAAACAAAACTTTTCCCCAATACCATAAAACCAGTGCTTCTGTGTCTTTCCTCTGTCTCAGTCGCTAATTGGTTGCGGTAAATGGTTGGTCCTACCGAGCCTGGTTCTGTTGGAGGTTTTTTCCTGTCAAAAGAGAGTGGCTCTTTTCCATTTTTGGCAGCAATTGCTTGGGATGGTCAAAGACAAAGCAATGCCCTCAATCTTAAATTATTTTTCTACCAACTGGAATTATAGGATCAACTGACTCTGATTGCACCAGAGTACAGTTTGGATCAATTTTACCACTTACCATCATATAAATAAATTACATTTCAAGACTTTGGCCTTTTAGAAATTAGAAATGACATAACACCCTCTACCAGAACCCCTGGGAGTAACTCTAGATAACAACGTAAGCTTTAACGAACAGATCAATTTTGTCCTGAGAGTAGACTTTCTTTCAGTCAAAAATGGCAGCAAAAGAGTTTCTGTCTTTTGATGAACCTTGGAAAAAAAAACCTCCATGCTTTCAGCTCCATATGCATTCATTACATCCCACTTGGGCTATTGCAGTTGTCTTTATGTTGGCAACAGAGTGACACAGATTGGCCAAATGCAGTTGGTCCAAAAGGTTGCAGCTTAACTTTTCACTGGCACACACAAGCAAGACCACATTCCTCTGCTTCTGGCTTCTTTGCATTAGATACCTTCTGTTAAGCTAAGGCCTTTAGAATTGATTTTAAGATTTTTTAAATTCATTTTTATATTCTTCAATCGACTGGCTACCTGTTATTTATATATTTTAAACTATATTACATCCTGATGCTAGATTACTGAGGTTTGTAACAAATCAATTCACTTGACTTGAATGTTCGTATAGAGAAAACAGTCCTCTCATTCGCCATTTTCTTCATCCCTTCTGTCCTAGGTGTGGTGTTCCACTACCGACCCATCACTGGTCGTTACACTCTGACCTTTTTGGAGGCTGAGCTGGCTTGCCGGACCATCGGAGCGATTATCGCCAGCCCCCAGCAGCTGTACGCAGCCTTTGAGAAAGGCCTGCACCAATGTGACGCTGGCTGGCTGCGCGACCAATCTGTGCGGTGAGCTAGACAACCAGCACATCAGCTTGACAAAGTCTCCACAAAACCGATTTCCCTTTCATACGACTCCTATATTTTTATACTAACTTCAACTTAACCAATGAAAACTTTCATATTTATTTTTGCTTTCCTTGCCCAGGTATCCAATTGTGTCACCCAGAAGCAACTGTGCTGGAAACCTGCATAACCTCCCAGGAGTGAGGTCGTACGGCCAGAGACCAGCCAGTGAACGCTACGATGTCTTTTGTTATGTGGACGGTTTAAGAGGTAAAAATCAAAAATCAAAATTCAAATATCGTATAAATTAATGCCCTAAAATACCATACTTCTATGATTGTGCAAGTAGTGGTTCGCTGCCAAAATCCTGGTATCGGTTATATGGTTATAGTTACTCTATTATGTTAGCACTAAAAGCTAAAGGTGTATTTATCTGGACTTTGTACGTATGTAGCTCTGTAGGAAAATGTTCACTAAAGGACTGTGTGAAATATCTGTCAGAAGTGCAAATGCAGAGTTTTTCACATTAGATTTTACTGTATTTTTTACGCAGAGCAGCCATATACAGTAAGATTTTGAGACTGAGGCTGGTGAGAACTCAGACTTTGCCATTGATAATCCTAACTTCAGAGGCATCAGTGTGTTATTTGTTTAAAGCTAAAACTTGGAAATGTTCTCTTTGAAGATAAGGTGTAATGTACAGTCTGCGCCAATGAAAAATAACTTTAAGACTTAACAGTAAAGACTCTAAATTCTGTTGTATTGTGATTTGTCTCAGTCGCTGGTGGGTGGTATTTATAACAGTTTAATATTGCTGAGGCAGTACTTATAAAAAGTTAGAAATCCAATATGTTAGTCAGGGACTTGCGCAGATGGACACTAGGTGGTGCTACAGTATCTGCCCTTTTTCCTCTGGAAAACAGTGCCCTTCTGAAATCTTCAGTTTTTGTTTTGTTGCGTTTCTTTTTACATTGATTGCGTGTGTCTAAGTGTAGCATTTTCTGAATTTAAAAGCCTATGTTATGGATATTACACATTTTTGTAAGTTGCTCAACAAGGCTGGCTGTAATAAACCTCACACTAGTCAACTGGTTCCATGTGTCTGTCCACACCACTGATGATAGTATTTAAACTGGTAGGAATGAATTATCCATAGACTGATCTACTGACAGTCATTCCTGAATCCCTACATGCGTCCCTCTGTTTGCCAGGTGAGGTCTTCTTCACCACCGACTATGACAGCTTCTCCTACGATGAGGCCGTGCAGCACTGCCAGAAGCTCAACAGCACCCTGGCCACGCCGGGGCAGCTGCACGCTGCCTGGAAACAAGGACTTGACAAATGCCGGCCAGGCTGGCTCATGGACCGCAGTGTCCGCTTCCCCATCACAACCCCCAAATCTTACTGTGGGGGTGGAGAGGTCGGGGTGCGCACCATCTACGCCTTCCCCAACCAGACGGGATTTCCCGATGAGCATTCACGCTACGATGCCTACTGCTTCAGAGGTTAACTTCTTTTTTTATTTATTTAAAAGGTGAAAATGTGATCAAAATAGAAGTCTGATGAAGAAAGATGTCATTCAAAATCGTAATTCATCTCAAGAATAAAGTCTATTTTCTCTTTTTTTATGTTCAGCTCAAATTCCTGTTGATTCCCAAACTCCCACCACTGTCTCTCAGACGACAAAGCCTAAAGATGTCAGGGAGACTACAACCGTCAGACCGGTTGACTTTGGTAAGACAAAAAGCAAGAAAGGCAAGGCTTTTTGGTGCATGTTAAAGTGAAACTGAGCTTCTTGAATATGGATATTTGTGTTAGAAATGTTTATGTCATTTCTTCGTATTGTCTTTTTGTCTTCTAGATAAAACTTCAGTTGGCTACAATGAAACCGATGTGAATATCACCGACGAAGTTATCAAAGAAACTGTTGTTACATTTGTACAAGTTGCTCCAACAGGTAACGTGGCTCAGAATGACAAAGCCAGAAAAGTCTCATTATGGTAAAAGCTTGAATATTTCTGAAATTAAGTTCAAAGTAAACACAAAGACATAGCACCGCAACACGTTATGGCTGAAAAACGTATCACAATATAAACGTTTTGCATCAGTCGGTATTGATAATTATTGACTAGTTTTTTGTATTAAATGTCTGAAATACTGCCAAACTGGTGATGGGACCTTTCCTGTTTTATTTGCAATTTCCTCTTGAGTTGTTGTTCTCGTTTTTTCTCCACGCTGTTGATTTTTATTTTTAAACAGCTATTAGGCACAGTGGCGAAACCGTAAACTGCTGCTGCTGATAGTTGCTCAACAGATTGTTGCTAGGTAACCAAAAAGTGAGCAAGCTAGTCGGTGCCATCCAGCTAGCTTAGCTGGCCTTGAGAGGTTAGCCTTTCCTCTCCCTTCATCTCCCAGAATGCCGTGCAGTTCTGGATCAGAGTTCAGTGAAATTATTGGATATTCTATAATTCTATTATTATCTGTTGATATTGATTGTGATTGTCGCAATATATATTGTTATCTATTTACTGAATCAACAATGAAGAATAGAAATCTAAGAATCAAGTCTTCTAATCTCATTTTTGTGTTTCCATCCTGTTTTACAGTGAAAACTGTTCTCCCTCCAGTCCTGGTTGATGCGTCGGGTTCTGGTTCGGCTGACCACTCAGCCAGTGGGGAGACCTCTGGGGAACCTGCTATCTCCACCAGCAGCGGTGACACGTCTGGGTCAGGACAAGGCGTCATTTTCAGCAGAACACCCGATGTGCTTTCTAGAGAGCAGTCTGGCTCTGGAGTCCCCGAGGAGGCAAAGGAGGGCAGCATAGTTTTCATCACATCTGTAGCTGTGTCTGGATCTGGAGCTGTGTCTGGATCTGGAGCTGTATCTGGATCTGGATCTGGATCTGAATCTGGATCTGGCATCATTATAAGTGGATCAGGCTACAGAAGTGGAAGTGGGGACATCAGTGGCAGTGGTGATGACACAGTGGTCACCTTGGTGGATGTAGAGCTGGAGGATTTGTCAAAAACCCTCATGAATGGCACGGCAACGCAGGAGTTTGGCCAGGGAGGGATTGACACCAGCGGGGGATCAAGTGTTTCTGGATCAGGAGATGTGTCTGCTTCCGGCTCGGGCGAGTTTTCTGGCATTTTGTTTATCGACAGCAGTGAGATTGACCTGACACCCCAGCAACCTGGGGAGGAAGAAGTGTCTGGAGATCATCCGACTGAATCAGGGTACCCCAGTGGCTTTCCCAGTGGCTTTCCCAGTGGCTTTCCCAGTGGCTTTCCCAGTGGCTTTCCCAGTGGTATTCCCAGTGGTTTTCCATCTGGCGTTTCAGGCAGTGGCTCTGCCTCCGGAGACCTTTCTCCAAAGCATGACAAAGTCATCTACCTGATCAAGGATGACATGATTCAAATAATCACAGACTCTACTGAAGAGGGGCGGGGTGTGGTGGAGATAAGCGGGGAAGGCAGTGCCTCTGGACTCCACCCTGAATTCAGCGGCGCTTCAACTCAACCGTCGGGAAGCGGAGCGGCTCCTACAACTGTTTACGGAGAGTTCGTACCGACTCTTGACCAATCAGGATCCAGGGGTACAACTGAGGAGAGTGACATCGGGTCTGCAGTTCATTCAGCCACACCAGAAGGACTCTACACCCGGCCAACAACGGCTCCATCAGTGTCAGTGGTTACTCCGGCTGTTGTGGAGCGTCCCGATGTGGACGGAGGTATGAACTTGGGACCAATACAATCTACATGCTCACACTAAACTGAGCAGCTGGAGTGAACTATTTACATTAAACAATCCTTTTCCAAAACATGTTTAGCTACGGAGGGCTGTCCTGAGGACTGGATCGAGCTTGGCGGCAGATGTTACCGACACTTTGATGAGAGACTCACTTGGTCTGAGGCAGAGCAGCGCTGTCAGGAGTTCAGCGGCCACCTGGTCAGCATCGGCTCGCCACAGGAGCAGCAGTTTGTCAACTGTGAGTAGCTGTCTGATAGTCAGGTTAGCCTTCATGTTATATCTGACGATGAAGCGATCTGGTTTCAAAAAACTGAACAAAGCTAAAAAGGCAGCAGAGAGTGTTAAAATTAGAGCTGTCAGAGCGACTAATGTAAAAAGCTTAAGGTACTTATATTACATAATGTAGTTTATGGTAATTGTATTACCTATTTTGACCTAAAAGTCTCTCTCTTGCCTGCGGAGGGTTACCTAGTTCACACCAGCGAGGTCTTGTACTCCGGTCAGCAATGCAGAAACGCTAATGTGAGTAAAAAGATGAGTGAGGAGAGAAACCGGAATGCTCAGTGGCATATTTTGCTTTAAAAAACACAACGATGGACGCTTGCATAAAACCAGTGTAGCCAGTAGCCTACTTATTGCAATGAAGAATTATCCTTCCAACTAAGCATAAAAATTTTATAGTTAACATTTCTAAATTATATTTGACTTTCCTGAATGTACAAAACCTGGAAAACTGAAATGTTTGGTTTTAGACAAGAAAAGATTTTCTTTAACATTTTTAGGACAACACATATTTTTACATTTTCAGCTTACATAGTTGAGCATGGTGATCAACCATGATTAATCACAGTGCTAGAAAGTGTTTCATGTGATTAATTTTTTTTAATCAATTGGCAGCACTAATAAAAATGTGTGATTTGAGTTTTTCACATGTTGATTGAAGTATTTTTATTAGCTGCAGATGCATCATTTGCAAGACGAAAGGAATACTGGTGTTGTCTATCAGGCAATAAAATGTTGGTTTTCCAATTTAAAAAAGGAATTGAGTAATTTGTTTATTTGCATCTTTAATTGTATCCATCCTTACCTTGTCCAAGTACAGCTGTCTATCTGTCCTAAATTTTGTGAACTTGTTTACTTCACAGCCAATGGTGACAGCTATCAGTGGATTGGACTTAACGACAAAGACGTGCAGAATGAGTTCCGCTGGACAGACGGCAGTCCTCTGGTGAGTTTGACTGAACTGAGTCACAATAAAACTGTTAGCTAGCTCGTTAGCGTAGCTTTTTTGGAAACGGTGATGAAACAAACTGCAGCTTTTAATCTGACGCTGTGATCAGACTTTTGAGAACTGGAGGCCCAACCAGCCGGATAACTACTTTGGTTCTGGTGAAGACTGCGTGGTTATGATCTGGCATGAGGGCGGCGAGTGGAACGACGTGCCCTGCAATTACCATCTTCCTTTCACCTGCAAGCTGGCACCCGGTACGCCGACTGGTCACAAAATCACCCATCCACATCAAAACATATTAGATTAATAGTTAATCAAACATTTAATACATTTCTTTTGGGTTAAGGTTAGGGTTTCTATCAAATCCCTGTTGGTGCACTTAATTGCACTCCAAAGATTTTAATTTAAGGTAAAAGTAGCTGAAACATTTAAGGAATGCATGCTTTAATTTTTGAAACTGATTAATGTTATACTCCTAATTAAAGTAGGAAACTCAAGAAAGCTTGCAATTTAGTCAAATAAGGCATATGTGTGATTGTTGGGAAAATACTAAGCTTGTCCAAGTGTACAGGTAGAAAAAAAATGGAACCGTTTGAATAGTGCAGCAATCCACTGTTTTTTGTTTGTTTGCTTGTTTCAATGGAGGGAAAAAAAGAGAATTTCCAGCCATAAACAAGCAGAGTTTGCTAAATGCTAGCTTCAAATTAAATAAAGTAAAGTATAAAGTAACAAACTTTATATTTTCTAGCTTTTTCTTTTGTTGTGAATCTTTACCAGGAGTGCCAAATATGTGCTGCATTCATAAGGTAACGTATCAAACTTGTTTCTATTTTACGTCAGCCATGTGTGGAGCGCCACCCGAGGTGGAACACGGCGGTCCGATCGGCAGCAGCAGAGGGCGCTATCCTGTCAAGTCTATAATCCGCTACCAGTGTGACCCGGGCTTCACACAGCGCCACCCGCCTGTCATACACTGTATGGCAAACGGAGAGTGGGAAAAGCCACAAGCCCAGTGCATAGAAGGTGAGTTTCAAAGGAAAATTTCTGACTATAGTGTTTCGAACTTTAAGGATGGTGGCGTGACTTAGGCTTTTTGTTAAAGTGAATCAAAAATACGAACTGTGTATAATTTTCAATGAAAATAATTCTTAGGTTTTTCTCATCCATATCATCGCGCGGCATGTTTTTTTATGACATGAAAAAAAACTTACTTGTGTGTAATTTTAATTGTTTCTTATTTAATGGAAACACTGCAATTGCGGAATTGTGTTTATTCAGCATTAGTGGAATATTGACAACTTTTTTGTGCACATTTGTAACAGAAATGCAGCTAGAGTTGAAGTCATAAAACAGTAAAAACAATATCAAGACAAAAGCGCAGGATAAAATTGACTTGAAATTTTTAGCTGAAACAAATTGTCCAGGTTCCAGGGCAACATTTCCTTTAGAAACCTTTAAAAGTCCCTACTGATTCAAAGCTGCTCACTTCTGATCCTGCAGCTTGAGAGCTACACTCTCCACAACCGCCACTCACTGCAGAATCAGATTTGAGTCTTTTTTGTGCCTCGTTTTTATTCTTTTTATTATTTTTTTTTTTTTTGTGTTGCTTTGTTTTTTCGTGATGTCATCAGTATGCATACCTTTTCTTCCCGCAGCCGGAGCCAACAGTAACAGGCTACACAAAAGGTCCCTGAGGAGAAGAAGTAAAGGTGTCAGCAGCCAACAGGAGCAGAGGGAGCTGCTCTGAGCGGGACTGAAAGGACACACAACTGAGAGCCACAAAAGAGCCTTCTTCTAAAGAAGCATGGACACTAATACAAATGCCAGACCAAAAAGATAGCAAGCCCTGCCCCTGTATGTACACTCAACTAAAGCACATTTAGATGACGATTTAAAAAAGAACAAAAAACTGATGTTCCTGGTCTTTGAATGTCACCCTGCAACCTCTGAAAGCTCATTTCTCTAATTTATGATTCAGCATCCTAGAGCTAAATCGCTTCCCTTTCTGTCGGCACAAAGTAGAAAAAAACAAAAAAAACTCTTTTCAAGAGGCTGAAGAGTAACATGCAAAGAGCGTAGAAGGTGTTTTCAGTTCACACTTTTATTATACTTTATCATATTTTTCTAGATCTGTGTTTCTTAGACTTTGTTTTAGGCGTTAGACTCCTACTCTTTAGGACAGCGCGGTGGACGTCGACTTTTGGTTGCGTCGCAGGCAAGTGGTTCTGTGTCGTCGTTTCATTGGAGCAAATGGAGCCTTTAGTCTGGTCACAGCTGTGAGCTTGTCGTCTTTGGTGCTGCCGGACCAACACGTTATGAAAACTCGACCCAGACGCAGCCACCCTGGATTGAAATAATCGGCACGTATGCACTTTTGAGACGTCCGTCATGTCGGTGCTAATCATTTGAATCCAGCGCACCTTAAACGACGGAGTGTTAGGGCCACACTCAGAAGAAAAAAGAAAGAAAAATAATTACAAGAATAAAGTCGTGGTACGAAAGTGGTCAGAATATTACGACTTCTGTTAAAAATCCTGGTAAAATTTTTCTGTCAATGTTCAAATTTTATTCCTGAAATATTATGATTTTATGCTGGTATCATTTTGACTTTATTCTTGTAATGCTACCAGGAGTAGCATTACAAGAATGCTACTCCTGTAGCATTCTTGTAATGCTACAGGAGTAGCATTACTCCTGTAATGCTACAGGATTACAGGAGTAATCCTGCTTTATCTTCATAATAAACATTTTTGTGCTTCGTTAGCGTAGCCCTAATACTCAGTTGTAACCTTAAAACTGTATTTAAAAAAAAAAATCTGTTGTTTTTTTTTATTTTAGAAATGGCAGGAAAACAGTGCCTTGAAGCAGCATTTTTACTATATAACAACAGACTCCAATGTATTGTTTGTCATAAGACAAAGTGGTGCATAACAGCAAAAAAAAGGAAGGATTATGATACACGTTATCATTGTTATTTTTCAAAATAAAGGGCTTTCCATTCGTCTTCTCACCAAGCCTCACTGTTGCTAATAAAGGCATCCCCACATCATAATGCTGCCACCGCCACGTCTCGCTGAACGGACAGCCTGTTCCGAGCAGACTGGAAACAAATGCACGCCACACTTTTCAGATTTGCATTCCTAATAGATTTTTTTAAACGTATAGAATTTTGCTTCTTTTTTTTATCCACTACTTTCTGTAGGTTGAAATACATCGAGGTTTGTGATGACAAAATGTGAACTATTCAGTGAATATCTGTCGGGTCTTTTGGAAATGTAAAAAGAAGTTTCACACGCTCCTTATTTATGGTTCCTCAAGTGCGAACCTTGTTTCTGTCGTGAGAACGCCAGCGTTTGCTCTGGGACGAGTTGCTCACTGTAAATATCCGCCATGTTATTTTTTTTTCTGAACAGCAGGATCTGTCCATAACTTGCGCAGTGCAGGCAGTTTAAACTGTTTTTTAATTTTATTTTAACTTGCAGTATTTATCATCGACAAGTTTTGCAGAGCGGTCGAGTCGTTAGAGCCAGCTGTACGGAGAGAGGAGGATTTCATGTGTCCATTAAAGCCTCAGGTTGTAGCTGGAGAGCGGGTGGTGTTGTATTTTACGATATCATCGTATGTTCATTTCTAAGGTTGCTTTTTCTTTGTGAGGCATTTAAGGTCCAATGTTTGCATCAGCCATCAGAGAGAACCGAATAAAAGAGACATGTCTATTTGGACGTAACCGGGGTTGGCAAGAGTCTGTTTAGAATGTGGTGCAGTTTTATCGGGGTGCCTGAACATACTAGAGGTCAAAAAATTACAAAATTCAAATGTGTTTTCAGTGTTTTTGCCTGGTGCTGGTTAAGAAACACCTTAATAAACTAACTAAACATGCGTAACTGCTGCTGGGATCTGGTCCAGATTCTGAATCCTGATGTGATCGCGCAGCACAGATCACCCAATAAAACATCGGCCTTATTCGTCTCAGTGGTTTTATTTCTTATCAGTCAACGTGAAGTTTTAACCTCACGCACAGATTCATAGAATTCTCGTCTTTTCCTAGAAACGGTTTTCCTTGAAGTTGAGACATTTCAGGTGGACTGAAGCACAAACCAGACTTTTATTTGTTTGTTGTTGTTTTCTTTTGCCCTCCTGTGCAACTTACCCATGAAAAAACATGCAATAAATGGCTCCTTCATTGGCTGCTACAGTGACCACCTTCATGGCGGCAGCGCCTGTGAACAGACCAGCTCTGTGTGGATGTGCTGCTGCGTCTTTGGGGAGAGGCATGCTGAGATACGAGGTCATGCGTAGCAGCATCTTTACAGCGATTTACGTTATTTATTCATCGTTCTAGTCACTGAGGAAAATGCTGTAGATTGAAATATAAAGGTGTGTTCTGTACAGGTAGGTGTAATGTTCCTCGTCTTGTTTTATTTTGGAAACTCTGTGTCCTCTTTACTTCCTGTTTGCTCTCGCTCCCGTCTCTGAGCTCCTTTTTTGTCTTTGTATTTTAGTCTATTTCATACAGACGAGGATTAGGGCCACTGGACAAGAAAAATGACTTTTTTTCCCCTCAGAATTATAACTTTTAATCTTAGAAAATTAAAGTCAGAATACTGTGTATTAGGGCCACCGTAGATAGAAGGGAAAAAATTGAGAACATTTTCTAGAATAAACAAGGACATTTCTGAGCTCCTGGTCAAAATTTGCTAGAAATTTTTTTTTTTTTTTTTAGTTTAGTCCCTGACATTTTGTAGAAAAAAAACTTGAAAATTATTATTGGCCCCATTCTTCTTCCATACTTTGACCTTGAGTTGTGGCCTGTTTTGTGTTCTATTCCTAGTTTCTGGTTCTGTGGGTTTTGTGAGGGGGAAAGTCACAGGGTACTGGAAATTAGGAGCATCAATCAATCCAAATATCTGCTACAATTTTGTCGTCTTGTTTACATTTTTCAAGCAAAAACAGTCAACGTGATTAGCATCTAGAGGTAATATAAAAGGGATAAATGAGTTTTGTAGAATCTTGTTTAAATATATTTGGCAGGGAAATATTTACAGAAGAATTTTTATTCATAGAAAATATCACAAATGCATAGACAATACAAAAAAAGGGCATGCGTTTGACAAGAACTCGGATTCTTCTTTTAAAAGGTAATTTTCTATATTACAAGAACAGAGTGGCTTTGTCATTCGTAGAGCATCGTTCATTAACAGCTTCACCACAGACATATGCTAACGCAATTCTTTAAAAGACAGCGCCCATCTAGTACCGAACAATCACAGTGTGGAAATCTGCAGACGAAAGGTAAAACTGTACTAATATCCTACCAAGCAGCTGCTGCTGACTGGTGTTAATGTGAACGATAAAAGAAAGTATTTGTGGTGCTGCTCCAAAAGCTGTGGTGGAAATTTTCCACATAGAAGATGTAAACATTTCTAGTTTTTGTTTTTTTTTTTTGGGGGGGGGGGAGGAGGGGAATTTTCTGCTTTGTCCCAGAGATGTTTCACCAGTCATTGAAATAAAAATCTTTTAAAGGTCGCGTTGTCCGTTTTAAAAAACAAAGAGATACAGGAAACGTCTTCTTGCCTATTTGGATCCAGGTTTGCCGTAAGTCATCTATCGGTAGCAGTACACGCCAAATTTCATGTGTGGAGCCGGGAACCCAAAGCTACGCACGCCTGGCTGTGACGGGCCACAGTTAGCCCTGGCGTTTGTGATGGGATAACGCACGCTCCCATCGGCCAACCAGCCCGCGTCGCAGCGGTCCAGTCCCTTCAGCTTCCAGGCGGCGTACAGCTGGCCCACTTTGGCGACCCGGCCCCCGTCTCTGGCACAAGCGCGGGCTGCTTCTGTGAAGTTCATCCGTCTTGGGTGGTTTAAGTGGTAAACGATCCCTAGAGCAGAGAGAAGAGTGATCAGCAAAGACGGATACCTTTAGCTGCAGACCTGCCGGGTTTTCATACCGACCCTTCATTGAGGCTGAGAAGCAGAAAGCATCAAATCGGTGGAAGAGGCGGTTTTTTGGTCCGTAGCTGCGGAGTCCTGGAGCTGAACTTTCACCCCCGCAGCCGTGCCGTGGGGCGGTGATGGGGTACTGCACGGTGCCGTCGGCCAGCCAGCCGGCGTTGCACCAGTCCAGCCCGTCCTCCCAGGCCGAGAGCAGCTGCTTAAACGTAGCCAGAGTGGCGTCTTGATCCAGGCATGCTTGCTGGGCACCAAAGAAGTTCAGATGGTAGCGTCCTTTCTGAGAGTGATAGGGGAACACAACACCTACAAAAGAAAAGTACTTTACTACTCAAATCCTTACAATTAAAAACAGCCTACATCAATCTCACAAGCAATACTTTTATCATCAAAACCAGAATTTGTTTAATTTGTTTGGTCTGCAGACTGCCTGGATTCCTCTGGTTGACAGACCTGAAAGACTCCATCAACATTAACAGGTGTTTATCATGTATCGTTTATCGTGATACATTTCTTATTCTGGTCATTTTCATAGGTTGTCATGATAAATTCATGATGTTTAAAACCTCCAAAACCATCAGTATTGTTGGGATTGTTACTTTGCCATAAATGTGAAAATATGATTACATGCAGGTATTGTGCTCATCTTAGTGATATAAACCACACTTCTTTATGTGACTAGTGAACTAAATTGCTGTGCCATTCAATCACAGTTTTACTAAAAAAAGAAGTAAATAGTTCTTATTATCACTTTTAACGTTATCACAACTGTGCCACAAAATATTGTGATAAAATTTGAACCTCTAAAAGAAGATTATGCTGCATTCCAGTTACCTAAGAAGTAGGAATTTGGAGTTGTTTGACGTCAGACCCGAGGTATTGACGTTCTAGTTGAGATGTCAGAATTTCAACATGGCGTCGCACATAAACACTGTTTGCAGATGCGGTTAGAAACACCATTTTAAGCTTTCCGTTCCATAAGCAAACACCACTTTTAACTTGTTCGGTTTAGAGTCACAGACACTACATGTAACACTGATTTAAGACACATTTCCACTTGTGTGTTTTATAAAATAAACATGTTTCCACCCAGTAGTGGTTCTTGCAGCAATGTTGCCCTGAGCAAGCCCCTCCTTCTGCAGCTACCCAACCAATAAAAATGCAAGCAATGATCAGATTCCCTCCCCCCTCCCTCGTGCCCTGCAGCCAGCAAAAAGCAAGGAAAACTTACTCCAAGATATATTTAGTTTCTAGTTCTTGGGCACCTCACCCCTTTCTAATGCCACCCTGGGCAGTTGCACATATAGCTAATATAAAAAACAAGCTGTGACCCTTCCCGCCACATCTTATGACTGTTGATGTGAGGAGCGACCATTTTGAAATGCGAAGTCAGCTTTACAACTGGGAGCAGTGTGAGTTGCTCCCTGTTTCCCAGTGGGATTTCCAACTGGGAAGATATACAGTGTTGGCCAACAGAAAGAATATCAGATACAGAGTTGCTCTTAATAATTAGTAATCATAT